AATCATCCTTTCGTTCGGCTTTTTTCACTGCTGCTCGTGACACTTTCGATCATCAACGAGAATTAATCAAACAAATGGGATTTAACGACATTTATAGTGGTTTTGAAGTGGTCGATCGAATCGGACCAGTGCCTGATGTGGGCGTGTTTGGGCCATCAGATTCGTCAATTTTACCTCTACTATGGGATTGGATTGATAAAACTGTGGATGAAGACAAAGAACGTAAGTTAATGACTAGTTTGCTCTTGACTGGAACACATGACCCATTTGTTATGCCGCCTACCGAATCAATCTATCGCGATTATATCGAAGATACAAGCGCAAACAAATATCTCAATACAATTCGGGTAGTTGATACTCTTTTGAAAACTATCGTCGATGGTTTAAAGTTGCGAGGATTGTACAAAGAGACATTAATCGTCATAATTAGCGACCATGGATATGCATTTCGTGATTGGGGTCGAAAATCTCTTGCTGCATGGAGGGTTCCATTTGAATGTGGATTTTTAGTTCCACTAATGCTGCATAATCCATATTTGGAAGCAAAGCAACTCAACGGACAATACACGAATATGGACATCTTGCCGACGATTATGGATATATTGTTGTCATCGCAAGAGACTGCTCATGAATCAGCCAATTGCCTACTCAATGTACGACAAGGCCAACTCTATTCAATCTTATCGCGATACGAGGGAACATCTCTTCTTCGTCTACCTATCGAACAGGAGACTCAACGATACACGTTTCATCTCGACAATCCTGGTAATTCACATGTTATTGTCAAGCAATATCCACGAAAGCTCGTGTACGATGTTCATCATGATGAAGTACGCGTCTTTCATCTTGGATATGATCCTCAAGAATCTATTGATTTAATCTTGTTTGATCGCCATGATTATATGGGCACTTATCCTAAATGGCTTCAAGTCGATCATAGTCGAAATTCGTCAAGAAGCTGGTCAGGACGATGGATCGGTACGAAAAATAATCTTTCGTATAATCATAAAAAGTTACTTCGTAAAAGATTCGGTCAACCGATGTTAGATTCAAGACAAAATGTTAGTAGAATATCATTGAAAGAGATGTTGGATTGGGCAGATGCGACCTTGGAACTTGCTTCCGTTTGGACTGCGCTTGTGAGAGTACGCTATTTCTATGGGAACATGACTTTTAATTCTCCGAAGCACGATTCTCAATGAAGAACAAAAGTCACAACATGAACAGTTTTCTTAGTGTCTTTTTTCAAGTAAGAGTGAAAAGTGAAAATTGTTACAGAAAAATAAAATCAAGATCCTAGTCAGTGTTTGTCAATACTCCTTTGATTTGTCGTGTAATCATCGACTTGTCATTTTTTATCATTCTTTCTTCTTGTGTCAGTTCACTCGTTTTGTTATTGGTGATCAGCGGTTAAAAAAAATAATTTGGAAATTCTTAGCTGTATTCAGATGGTGAATATATTGCTCTATTTTAAGAATTGATCAAATCGAAAATATTAGTCAAGATATGTGAAAAGGCGTTCAGATCACATTGGATTATCAGCATCTTGTACAAAACCGTGTTTTCATAGATGAAAAAGTTATTTCATCTTAATTGACATATATTTTTTGCTTGAAAATTTCGCAGAATGTTGGTTTTCAACTTTTTTGAAAAAGCAAAAATTTTTTATTTTTTTTTTCATGAAAATCTTAAATAATTCAAAGAGAATTTCACATCAAGAATTTGCTTGAATTTGAGTCCTTTAATTCTAGGGTATCGTGAAATCAGCTTTTTTATTCTTGCTAACGTATATAGTAAGGAAAACGAATTATTCACTTTCTTTCAAAATAATATGCTCCTCGTTCGATCCAGTCAGAGATCAGTTGTAGTCTTGAAAATGCTCGTGAAAACTGCTGAGGGAATGTGATTGATATATACCAAACGATTTTTTTCCCAAAGCAACAGCCATATATTTGTACATCATCAATGTATGAGTAGATCCATACGGTGAACCTCGATTTTTTTCGTATTTCAGCTCCATTAATTAACTGATTTATTAAACAAATCGTCTTATTCGTTGGTTTTTCTTTTCTATTTATTTATATATTTTCTTGTTCATTTGTTTTGTTAATATTTCATTTATTCATTCTTTCTTTTATTAGATTTTTGTCATATGTTATTTGTGCCTTTTTATTCACTTTTGATTCCCTTCATTTTCTCACCCGTACCGTGGCTTTTGCTATCTATTTTCGTTTGACAAAATATTTGAATCGCCAAGATCATCGAAGAATAAATATCATTAAATAAGAATTCGAATTTCAACAGACAGCTATACTGAATATTTTATATCTTTGGCAAGACTATACACAACACCATGAAGTCTCTTTTTATTCTTTGGCAACGATATTATGTGTCGTTTTGTATCATAGGAGTCATTCATAAGGCGAAACAAAAATTGATTCATTTATCTGCTTAATTTTCTTTTCCAGGGAAAGTCAATACTTATGCAGAGAGCACATTTGAAAATGCTGTTCTCATTCATCTAATAAAAATTTAATAAGAAAATAAAGACTCGTGCACGTATTCGATTATAAACAGTGGGTTTTTTGCAACTTTCAGAAGAAAAAAAACAAAATCAACATTCAGATGAAGTGGCCTGGTATCACCAACTATTGACAACTATAGTATGATGCCTGTGACTCTTTTATACAAGCGAGCATTTTTTAGACATTGCCATGTAGCGTAAACGACACTATTATGATTGTATTCTTTGAAGTGTATTTTACATATCACTTGCAATTGTGCATCAAAACACTGATAAATATTTTCCTCACTATTCTTGAGAACAGTTTCTTTCATCGACGATCGGATATTCTACTTATTGATTTTGAACATTGAACACTCAACTGGATAATCAACAGATGGTGCTTACATGATAGAAGATCGTAAATTATCAAATATCTTTGTGTTTCTATTTCCAAACACAATCTATGAAAGTGACACTCTACACTATGCTTGCAGTTTTTTCTGTATATCTTTCTTTGCAACGACTGAACAATGATGTATAGAATGAAAAGAAACGTCGAAAATCCATAAACCAATATGAAAAAGAGAAGAGCAGAAGGAAAGAAAAATTTCATAATAAACAACTAACAGAAGATAAATAACAATAGAAAGAACAAGAAGAGAAGTGCATATGTATGATAAATAGATATAGAAGAAAATTCTTATGATCATATTTGAAAAAGATACAAGTCATAAATATCTGATAAACAGTGCTAGTTTTCGAATAGAATTATGTTTGAACAATCTTTGACTTTCGTTTTCAATTTTGTCATCTGCTCAAAGATGCAGATGAGTACAGCAGTAAAGTGTTAAGGAATGTAATGAATAGAGAAGTTTGTTATTTTATAAAATAAAGAAAAAAAAGCATTGTTCATATATCGTCTTTCTCTCTTTTTTTCTGATCCACGTTTTAAGCTACTTCAAGGCGAATTCTTACTCATTATCGAGAGAACATTTTGTGTGCATAGTGTCATTATTGCTTATAAATAGGGATCATTAGTTTGAGCCAGCAAAACATTCTATATGCTGATTTTAACAGTCTTTTCTCTGATTTCTTTCACATTCAAATATTCACCTGTTTTAACAACAGTTTTCGCAATCTTATAATCTTATTTATGCATATATTAAAAGCAACACTTTGCCAAGCAGTACTGGACTACCAGTCGTCGTATTTATTTTCTAAAAACTGTTACTCTTTCACGGTTTCTAGTCGTTCTATGGTATGATTGAGTTGAATTCAGTTGCAAATTTTTTAAATGCAAACATTTTCTCAAGTGTCAAACCATCACTAGAATACAATAATAATTTTATTTAACAACAGATCGATATACATGATTTTTCGATATCATAGTTGAAAGATCCTATGTCATGATACATGGACAAATTTAATAATAATATTTTTCACGGATTTACTTAGAGATTGATAATTTATTAAATTATACAATTAACAGATTATAGTAATAAAGAGCAATAAATGATGTAAAGCTTTTTTTTTGTATTTTAGAAGAATATATTATGATTATATTCTTCAATCTGATCGTATATTTTACCTTGTAAAGGTAACTTTAAGCATTCTAAATGTGAGAACTGATTATGATGAGTTATTCAGAAGACATAATAAATTTATGACTATAGATGAACAAAGTATCCAAAGTGCTGTAGCTGATTAAAAATAAAGTGTTTTTAAAAAATGATGTCAAGATTCGAATTTATTTATTATCATTTTTTTTTTCATTTTTTTTTTTTTTTGTAAACTAAAATTCCCCAGTAAAGAATATATTTATAATTTCTTCATGAACTGTTTCTTCAAAATTCATCTTTAATTATTTTAAATAAAGGAAATATTTTTTCAAAGATAAGTTTTATTATTCATTGCCATTACAAAGTAGAGAATCTTATTTATTTTCTCTAAGAATCTCAAGTCTTCTCAAAAAAGATAGCATAACTTGTAAATTGATCCGTCTATTCAAACAACTGATAATGAATTCATGAATTTGCTTGAATACACACTGAGACAGTAGATGTATTCGAAAATTTTTTATCTTTCTTTTCTGTCTTATTAAAATCAATATGTAGATAACATGCTTGAAGAAAAATATTAAAACAATGCTTCAATCCATAGAAAACATAAAGATAATCTATAAATATTGAAATATTTTCAAACATCTCCAATCATCACTCATCACTAAGCAATTCGAGTCTGTTAAAAGTCATATATGACACGACATCAGGTCATGTTGCTTTTCATATATTCGTGATATTTAGAAAATAGAAAATAAATGTACAAGCGTATTAAGAACTTTATAATAGAACAGAAAAATAGATTCGTTATCTTAGCTTTATCCACCCGATACAAATGAGAAAAAAATTTTTGCTTTAAAATTAATATTAAAAATTTGTATTGTTCTTCATTTTGATGGTCATCAGTTTATTATTAAATAATAATATAGATTGAATTAAACATGTACTACAATATCATCATCAACCATTGGTTTCGTTTCTAATTTATGTAATGTTTCCATAATATCATCTTGAACTTTTGGTGTTATTAAAAATTGACCATGTTTAAATTGAGGAAAAATAGTTATATCAATATTAGATTTTCTTAAATATCCTTCTATAAATGAAACAGGTACAATATCATCATTTTCAGAAAAAAAAACATGTATACGAATTCGACTTTGTTTTATATCTTCTACCCATAAATTACACTCATACCAACATAAATGACGTTCAATAGCATAAATTGAATAAAGATCTTTTGTACAAGATGTATGTAATAAAAGTTGATTTGGTGTACTTGGTTGACGATAAACAAAATTATTTATATAACGTGAATCAAATATAAGAAAACAAACCGGATCAATAAAAATCATTGGTTGATCACGAACTCTATGTGGTAATTGTTTAACAATACATGATTGAATAAGAGTACCATAGCTATGACTTATACTTGTTATATATTGTTCATTAAGTGAAATAAGTAATTGTTCAATAGATGATAGAATACTTGACATAGAAAGAACTTCAGTATGAAGACGCATACTTACAGATGGTATATCAAGAAGAATTATTGTACGATCGAGAGATGTTAAACGACGTATAAATGAAATATAAGTATTCACACCAAGACTTAGACCATGAAGAAACAAAATTGGTGGTAAACTATAAAATGAAATCATTTTTTTTTTTAATGAATTTTATAAAAGAAAAAGTTTTAGGATACTTTTTATTAGTCCAATATCGAATAAGATTGGAACATGAGCTTCAAATATTCTTCTTGGCTTTATTATTATTCTATACAAAACATATTTCAATACAGTTGAAGAGGCCCTGACTTACGAAGGAAGTACGCCAATTAAAATCTGTCATTTGAACTCATATTGGACTCATGAGGAAATTTCAGTAAGATCAGATAAAGCTTTAAAAAGGTTTGTTTCTGGAGTCAAGTTATGATCGTTTTACTGAATTTTCAATCCATTTTGAGGTATTTCCTGAAAAATCGTATAACAGATTCTCAACCTGCAACTTTGCTCATAGATAAATCTAATGACTCTTAGAATATCCTGAAAGTTTCAGTTGAAAAGAATCTTTCTTTGGCGAAATATTGAATTTTCAAATAAACTCGATTTTTGCGGCAATCGACCATTTTTTGGAAATTCAATAGCTCGTTAAAGAAACATTCTTTTCGGCTAAAACTTTCAGATTATGCTAAGAGCCATTAGACTTATCTGTAGACTGAATTTCAGATCAAAATTTCATTATTTGGTTTTTTTTCAGTAAATATGAAAAAATTGATTGAAAATTCAATAAAATAGTCAAGCCTTATGGGTACGAATCCTTTCCAGCTTTTTCTAGTCTTACCGAGATTCCCTTGTGGACTGAATATGAGCTCAAATGACAAGTTACAGTTCAGGTAGTTTACACATTCCATATTTTTCTTAAAAGTTAGAATTTAGTGACTACATTATGCACAGTTGAGAACATTGAAAATTACATTTTCGACATCTGAAGTTCACGAGCGCTTTATAAGATTCTATTAGACTCGATTGTTTACTTTTGATCAATATTTGTTGTTGTTTAAGTATTGTCTGTCTGTGTAAAAGAACAATATATCATACGCATTGACCTTTATCATTTTATGTTCATTTAGGAGAAGAAGAAGAAGAATTTGAAAAAAACTATATTCTAAACTTTCGTTTAATACTTTTCATCGAAAAACCAATGATTATCCCATAAAATATCATGAAAAATCAATCAATTATATAATTAATAGTTTAGATAAAAACTTAATTTGTACTCAATAACTTCATATAAATAATATTACTTATTTACCTTGTTTTTTTCGGATATTTTCTAACATAAAACGCAATATTATTAATAATTTGATATTCATATCTCATTGATGTAAGTATGGATGTAGTAATACAACGTATACAACCAAATAAAAGATATTTCAACATAGGATAATGTGTATATTGAATTAAATCTCTATATGGATGTTTTAATTGTATTTTTTTATTATAACCAGATTTTATTTTTGAACGTTGTTCCGGATATTTTTTTAATAATCTTTTATATAATTTTTTAATATATTGTTGCTTTTTATTAGTAATTTCCTTCCAATTTTTAGCACCATATGTTGCCATAGTTATATATTCTAAAATATTTTCTTCATAAATTAAATCATAAGATAAATTTTCAATACCATTAAACCATCCAATAAAACAAACTCGAATATCATCGTTAGATTTTTCATAAACATTTAAAATTCTATCAATAAATTGTTCATCATAATTATTTGGTAATCGAGGACGTTTAGGTAATGGACGAGTATTTAATAATCTTGCTTCTTCAACAGTAAATAAAAAGAATAATGATTCTAATATACAATAAAAAATAATTATTGTATGATAAAAACAATTGAAAGAATTAATATCAATAAATATAAGAAAATATAAAAGATACAATTGACAAAATGGTAAAATACTAATAAATATTGAATGTATTGTAAATGTAAGAAATAATATTACAAAACCACGCCAATTACGTATACAATATGGAGAATACAATATTAAATACAGGCCAATAATGAAAAGTAAAAAGCTACTTAAAATAATCAAAGATAACATACTCGTGGCTAATATTCTGTATAATGAAGTATAGCGATCGATATTTACATACCTGATCGCAACTCATGTATAAAGAAAAAGAAAGAGTCATGTGGTGTTGTTTTTTTGCAATTCGCTTGTTAATATAACATTATGAATGTTATATATATATATATCTATGCATAGAGAAAAAGAATTTCATTTCGAAACGAAAAATAAAAAAAGAAATAAGCTTATATTTTTTTTCTTCAAATAATAAAACACATTTTTTTAGTAAATAGCAATAAATTTTCGTAATATATAAATTTATATTAAAGTTTATTTCCTATTCTATACCTATAGCTAATTTTAAAATTGACTTCAATAGATTGTATAATGTTACATAATATTTCCTTCTTATTTCACTATATATATATATATATATATATCTTTAAAAAATTTTAATAATACTACAATAGTACCTATACATCAAAATGCTTTGATGATGATTATCCAAATCTTATTTGTCTGTTTTAAAAAAATTACTCTTCTCTAGGAAGAGAATATACGATATATCACTCAAAATTCATTCTAATTTATGATCGAACTTTTCATAGTTGATATCTTAGGTCGCATGATTGTTTGTACGATCACAGTGGCATGTCGGTCAGAGATTAGCAGATCATTTAAATATCCAATCACCGTTGATTGATTGCTGGTATTCCAGTAGTTTTTGGTCACTATCAGCAAATACTGTCGGTTTGAATCACATGAGATGCATTTAATTTCTTCACTAGACTCTATTTTTGTGACAATATTTGTTAAATATTTTAACATAAAAAAAAAAGTACATGAAAAATATCAAAATAAGTTAAAACTTAAATAATTCTCTTTATTTTGATTTATATTGTAATATTTATTTTCTAGATTAGAGATTCATGCAATAATATATATAAACTAAAATGATTGATAGTATAAGATTATAAAAAAAAAAAGAAAAAGAAACTAATAATTCAAATGTAATTTAATTAAAATTTATTATTCATTTTGAATAAGATATCATTTGCCTTCGATATCGAAAAGTGTATCCGTAATAACTGTAACTTCATTAGCTTTTAACCATCGTCGTTGTTCTGGTTCATTAACACACCATGCACATACAATAATTTGTGCTTTTTTACATTTATCTAATAAATTTTGTGAAACTAATCGATGTTCAATACAAAGTAAATCAGCTCCTAAAAATTTCAAACCAATTGGTGTACCTAACCACATTAAAAATGAATCAATCATCCATCGTAATATAACATTTTGAATAAAAAATCTTGAACAAGGTCGTGGAGTTTGATTAGCATTACGAATAATAGTTGTTGTTATATTTGATACTAATAGAAAAGCTGTTGGTATATATGAATTAAGACGACGAATTGCATATATATTATATGGATGAAAAGCAGCACAATAAGCACGATCATATAAAAATGGATGTCGTTCAAAAAGATCATTAATTATTTTTGCCATTTCATCTTTTTTATGTGTTTCTTTAATTTCAATCACTATACAAATAAACAAACAAAAAATAATAGAGAATAGCTTTTTTTCTTTGTCTTTATTTTCTTTTAATATTTGATCTATAATTACTTAATTTAAGTTTTGTTGATTCTAAAAAAACAATAACTTCTTCTAAAGTTGGTATTATTTCACAACCAATATAATCATATATATCACGTTTATTTTTTTTAAAATATTTTAATTGTTTTAATTCATCACATGTTAATGATGATATAAATTGTTTACAATTAACAAATGTATGTTCTAAATAACCATCATGATTAACCATTGGTATATGATCACGACTTAACCATACATCTAATTCAATACCATCAACACCATTTATATTTGATGCCCATCGATAAGCAGCCATTGTATTTTCAGGAAAATCATTATCATTTGATGGTATTAATGGTTGACCACCACGATGTGCAATTGTTAGATTTTTAAATTGATTAGTAGATTTTCGACATTTTGGTAAAGAAAAATAAGAATAGAAGAAAAAAATGATTAAAGGAATGATTAATATAAGTAAGATAACAATTATATATGAAACAATGAGAAATAATGGAATAATAAAAAGAATAATAGTTAAACCATTGATTATCCAAAATTGAATATCACCTTGCATTTCTTCACTATTGAAAATTTAACAAAATATTTAAAGAACAAAAACAGAAATAATGATTTATGTAATTTCTACTCAATAACTTCACTAATATACATAGATCATTTTATGATAGACATAAATGTATGAATATGGACGTATGAGTAATCTCTTTCACGTTTATTTCTTCGATTAGAACACAGAACGACAATGTGAACACATGGTAAAGCTTCAATACTCGTTGGTTTTTTTTTGCTGTGTTGTGTTCTTCTCGTCTATAAATGCAATTGATTGTTATTTCTCTACCACGTGTTAGAAGTAGAAAGAGAAAAGGAAGTGGCTCATACTCGCACAGAAAAAGAAACACTATTCCTAGCTTGTTTACGTTTCTTCTCCTATATGACTACATTGCTTTAAGTATCATCAAAATAGAAAACAAACCTTGAACTTTTGACATCAAATTCTATAAATAAAGTTACAGTTCGAATTTTCTATTTAAAATAAAGAAGATAAATATTAATTTTAATATCCAAGTCTATGAAATGATCTTAATAGTCATAAAGTTTCTGCATATTTTGATAACAATATCAATAATTTATGACAGTTCTATAAAACTGTGTATATACATCTTCAGTTTATGATATACAAATTGTAACTTAATCATATAGGATATTAGTCTTTTTATGATTTCATAGATACACATAAATATTAAAGAAATTGATGACAATGAAATTTTATCATAAAATGAAAGAAAGATGATTACAAATTTAAAGATTGTGTAATCTCAATATACTCATACTAAGATTAAAAATAGATATGTATTTTTCTTTAAGAGATACGTCATAAATTTATGAGTTTCGTAGCGAATAAATTTTTTCGTCTCTGAATGATTTTATTTATTTTACACTTGTTAAAAAAAATGTGTATCAGTCAATACTCACATTATATACTTATTTTCGATAACAATAAAGAAAACACTTATTCTATGTAAAAGAATAGTTCCTCTTAGTGTAGTATGTCGCTATTTTTGAGTGCGATACGACATAAAAATACTGTTACGGTTTCTATATTTCAAGCATCACTCCAGTAACATCAACAGCAAAAATTCTAAAGAATTCAGTCGCTTGCCTTAAGTCACATCTATAGAGTGAGATCATATCAGTAAGGGTAGCATTTTCAAATTTTCTAAGTGGGTCTGACATTACGACAAGAACTTTAATTTCCTGAGTTGTAATTGGATGCGATTTCAGGTACTACAGTGAGATGATACATAATAAGATGATGAAATAATAATAAGTTGTGAGTGAATGAAGATCCATCAATTTATCGAATAACATAATAACAAGAAGTAGAAGAAGAAGAAAATAATCATTAAGATATGAGAGAAAAGAGAAGACGAGAAATGTAAATAAGATGAAGAAGGTATATTATATCAGAATTAGCATTAGCATTAACTAATACTAATGCTAATGCTTTTGCACCAGTATTAATGTTAAGCCCGATGCTTTGGTACTATTTTACATTAGTGTATTACTTTTAATTTCAATAAATATTCCATGTAACTCTTCTAGCATTATTTAGACACTATACCTGTAACATTTTAACGGCTATTTCAGCATCACATCAGTAGGTATTTTAAATAACTATCTGTATATGCTACACATCATCTTCTTATCGATTGGCATCCTTTAAATAAATAATTAGTTCATCAGGATCATGAAAAATCGTAGCATGCCATCTAGAACATTTTATTACTTTTGTAATGAAAAATGAAGTGTAGGTGAGTATGGTTGTGGTTGTTCCAATGGATGGATATCGAAGTGGATGTGAATCTTCCTCTCAATTCCAGAGCCACCCACACTCACTACTCGCATCTATTCCCCACATCCACATCCAAACAATCTATATACAATTCAACAGACATTCTATGGAAAGCATATTGGATGTAAGCATTTATCTATATATAAATATTTTTCTTTCATAGTTTAGAAAGAATATGTAATAGAGAATTTCATTATCCTTCTCTAATATTCTCAGCACGTTTTCTAGCTAAAAATGGAAAATATTTTACACAGAGTTAAAGTGCTTCCTTTGCAAATGTCTTTTGCAATATAAATTAAACATTAATAAAGTACTTTTTATACATGTTTCAGATATTCTGTAATTATTCTAGAAATTTTCATCACTAAATATAAGTTGTTTTCTCATAAATATTAACTGAAATAAGTAGGTAAATTGCATATGTCATTTTCCATTGCAGAAGTAATAAATGTTCTAGACGACGTGTCAAGTTTGTTTTCATAGTCATAATAAACTAACCATTTTTCAAAGAACGCCAATTGATAAGATCATAGGAGGTAGTATATTAAGATAGTTCTAAGAAAAAAAATTACACATACGATGCTCAGATAGCCCCTCAAATGTTACAGGTATAGTATCTAGATAGTGCTCAAAAATTTACATAGAATATATAATGTCTAAGCATTAGCATTATTTTAATATTAATGCTAATATGACAATCTTAAGATGCAGAATCAAATAACCGAATGAAGGCAATCAAGAAGAAGTATTAAGAAACGAATAATGATAATCAAATAAAATGAGGGCGATAAAGAATACGAAAACAAAGATATCACAAATATTCATAAGTCGGCACACAAGAAGAAGAAATACAGAGCATAGGTGATGGATGTTAGTGTTAACGTGGAAAACTCCTATAGTAATAGTCACACATCTACACCATCTTTGATGTAAATTATTATTGTCTTTTTTAAATCCATTATCATACTATTTCTTGGAATATCTAGTTAGTCTTATAGAAATATGTGCTAGAAACTATAATAAAAGTATTTATAAACTCAACAAATTTATAGTCTGTATGATTTAGATCAATAACTAGTCGATTGTATTTATAGATGTTGAAATATATTTTTCTTTTATTTCTTAACTAAAGTTTTAAATGAATTAAAATCATAAATGTTCTTGTCCAAGTTTTAATGCTTCTTCATATGCATTGATACTACGTTTTAAATTTTGTCGTTGCATCGTTCGATCATAAGGTTCTTTCATATAACGAATCAAATCTGATGCTGGAATAGCCATAGTCATGTCTTTATGAACTTCAAGTGTACATAGAGTAATAAATTGATGATAACATATTTGAGAAATGACATCAATAATACGTTTTTTTACGATCTAAAATAAATTTTTTAATCAACGATTATAATTTCGATTTGATTTATTTACTTCAGAATATGCTTTTAAAGATGTTTGAATATCTGTTGCTGCATGAACTTCATTGCTTCCTGATGACAAAATACTTTGATTCGTCATTGGAGGAAACGTTGTCGAAATGTAATGTATTTTATTTGAATCTACAATTCCATTACGTCCTTTGACTGATGATGATTGTGTTGATGATGGTATTATTACCTGTTCATAGTTTTCTCGATCACCAGTATCAATAGTTTTTCTCATTTCGAAAATATGATTCATATATTCAGAATTTAATGTAAATAATCTTTTTTCCATATCAAGTATTTCTTGTACACGTTCTATTGTTCGATCTTCAGCTTCATCAATTTTTTCAATAATAACTTCTTTAAGACGTTGAATAAGACGAGGATATTCTTGATCAAATGTTTGATAATATATTTTTAATAAAATCTTATTGAGATAATCATGAATATCTTTAACTAATGAAAAACATATTTTTGGTAAACGAGAAAGTTCTTCACGAAATGAACTTTCTATTATTTTAAAACTTTGAAAATTAGGCAATGAAACACCAGTTGCATAATCAATTTTAATCATTGTAAGTTTTTTATAATCATCAGAAGAAAAATTTGAAAAACTATTGCATAATATTTCTTGAAATTTTTGTTGAAATTTATAAAGATGATAAGCTATATGATCATCACCAGGCATAGAAATAAATGCTATTTTGAGTTGAGATGATGATATTGTCGTAGTATTATTTATATTTTCAGATGTATCCTTATTTACATTAAACATACTATTTCGTATTTGACAATCATAATCACCATTAACTTTAGCTTGAATACTTTCACGAAATGTATCAATCATTGATTGAAATTTAGTCCAACATTCATGTTCAGTTGTCATAGCCATTGGAATATTTTTAAGTTCGAATTTTTTACTACGAATTTGTTTTCTTAATTGTTCAATAGTTTCAGGAAATGTTGAACGAATACGACTATGTTGAATTATAGCTAATTTTTTTATTAATTGATCAATACCTTTATATTCATCAGGCAAATTTTGAAAAGCTTCATTATGTTTAATAAAAAATTGTTTTTCACGTTCTTTCATTTCTTCAAATGATATATTTGAATCAATTTCATCTTGATTTCGATTTAGTACAGCAATACAACCCAATTGAAGTTTCATTGAACCTAATCCTTCGCCGAGTAATTTTTGAGCTATACCTTTATCATATTTATCAATTTTTGAAACAGCAATCAATTGTCGTTCACAATTAGGATCGAATTCTTTAGCTAATTTCATTGATTCTGATGTTGTAAAATCAACAGATGATGGAATTACATGTAAAACAACCTTTAATGAAAGAAAATAAAAAAAAGAATTCATTATATGAAAAGATAATTTTAAAGAACTTACAGCAGTTGATGGTTCGATATATTTGTTAATCAAGGTTAAAATTTGACTATGAATATCTTCTGCTTGACCAGGTAATGGATTTCGAGTTATACCTGGTAAATCAATTAATGTTAAATCATATGGTATATTACGTTTGTAAACTGTTAAATAGATTGGATGTGAACTAACATTTGTTCCATTTCCTGCAATATCATTGGTTAGACGAATAACTTCGGCAGCAATATCTTTCATGTTATCGATAGTTTTCTTTGTATTTTCTGAAGTTTTATTACTATGTATGATTGCATATTCATCACCTGTTGTTACTTTCATGCGTAATTCTAATGGACATCGAGTACAAATATTCTGTGCTCGAGGTAATTGAATTCCAGATACAGCTTCTA